AAGTTGATTTTATGACAACTCTTACAAGAAACACTGTCTTCCCTAAAATGTGGAATATCAAGCATAATGTGAAGTTATACTTTAGTATAACTTTACAAATAAGAAAATCTTTTAGAACACCAGCATCAAATTGGGCAGTATGTCAAAGTTGACTCAGGTTGCTGTCTGGTCGGCCGTCACATGCTGGTCTGAGCTCAAAGCTTTCTTTCCTAAACAGGTTGTTGTATGATAACTTCATTCACGTTATTTTTCAACTTTATTCTCACAATATTACGACTTTATTTTCATAATGTTATGAGTTTATAATAATATATTATAATAATATGATTTTATTTTCAAAATAAAATAATATGTTGGCCCTAATACTCTGTCGCACTTCCAGTGTCAATTTAAAAAATCTTCAAAGTTTGTTTTCTCCTTACTGCACGGAGAGTACCAACATTCATATCTTCTTCAATTTTTATTAGTTTTACATTACTTGAAAGCTTAGACTCCATTCCTTCAGTGTAAATGACGGCAAATTGCCCAGGATAGACTTGGATGTAGTTTTGCAATGGCCTCTCACATATGTAACATTATTTAAAAGTAAAAAATGAAAAAATAAAAAGGGAAAGACTACTTTTTTGAAACAGATTTCCTCTCAACATTAATTCAAACTGATGGTCTGACTTCTGAATACACAATGTCTTCAGTCTTCCTCTCCATCTTCTTTGTTCCTCTTGGTTTCTTCCCTCCAGAAAAATGTAATGCAGAGTAGACCAGATCCTGTCCATCATCACGCTGTTTAGAGAAATGCATTCGATGTAAAGTTAAAGAAATTCAAGCTTTAAGAGTATCAAATTTACTTAAATAATAGTTTGGGGATTTTTGTTTTTTTATCACTACCCACAATTTCATCTCTTTGGTGGTTCAAGTTGTTGCGTTTTGCTACAGAGGGTCTTTCTGTGGAACAAAGAGCAACATGCATTTATGATAACATTTTATTTTAATGATCTGTCAGATTGCATATATTTAAAGCATTACATAAACTCAGGTTGTTACTTTCTTCTATAGATCTTGAGTTTAAAGTAGAATACAAAATTAATATTGATTGGTTAATAATACTTACCTTTAACTATTTGACATGGAAAGGCTTTAGTTCGACAAAAGATCAAAATTATATGTACGATAACAGAAACGGCGAAAATGATTATTGTGGTCAGCACAATCGTATTTTTGTAACATAATGTTTGACCTAGAAAAGAGAAATACGAAACATGAGCATCTCCTAGCCATTGAAATAATAATTTATTGTTGCGCATATTTCTCCATATGTGTACATTACCTCCTTCCTTTCTGATTACATTTCCTAATAAGATTTCTCCGCATGTAGCCACAGCACAGTAGTAAGTCGCAGGATCAGAGGAGCTGATGTTCTTAGGGAAGTTATAGATACATTTTTTTTCCGGTGTTTGGACTTTTCTCACAGTTATCAGCTCTTTTACTATCAGTGTAGATGATATTTGGATAGGATCTGTTGGATCCAGCTTTGAACCAGAACATGCTGAGATCTTCTGAACATGAATTGTTCTCTGACTCAGAGAGAACTGAACACTGCAGAGTCTCTGAGTCTTCTGGACGCAACGATTCCGAGGCTGTTGACTGCTGAACAACAGTGTAGCTGGATGTCTTCTTTGAGTTTCCTGAAATAATTATTGTAAGGTTACATTTCAAAACTAAGTTGTTCAATATATCAAATGTAATAGACAGATTCGCAAGGAAAAGAAATATCACATACTGCCTCAATAGTAAAACTGTCCTCTGTGCTTAGCCTTTTCCAAGAGAGCAGGCAGCTTCCACAGTAGGGGCAGAAGAGCATTCTTGGGTTCAGGATCAAGGTTTGTTTTAAACCAGATATTTTATGGTCTCTCTACATAACATAAGGATTCTGATCATTAAACATTAAAACCACTTGTCTCTTTAAGACGTGTAAAATGTTTGACTGGGAGTTTTTTTTGTTTTGTTTTTTGTTAGGCTCTTTGAAACTAAAGCAGTTAAAATGATACTTGATCCAAGTAATTTAATATTTGCATTTATTGAAATTTGCATGAATAATGAATCTTTTTTGCATCTCTCATTGTAAGAGCATATCAACAGGAATAAGACATTAAAAACAATGAATACATCAGAGGCACATATAATAGTTTGCTATAGAGCAGTGTAAACTAGTAAAACACTTTTAATCTGTTTAATAGCTGATTCAGATTAAATTTACATCTTCAACTTGTGAAATCTAATTTAAAGTCTGCTATATAGGTGTAATATCAGATTGTAGTTTGAAATTTCAGGAGTATTTTTGTTTCTTTAGTGAAAAAGATTTCAAAGCATTGTAACACTGAGGTCTCACATTACCTTTTACCATCAAATATGTCCCCATCCAAGTAGACTCTGCCCAGTCTAAAAGAGCACAGTGATACATTCCCTCGTCTTGTTCAACTGTCCTCAGAATTGTGAGGTTGCTTATTTTATCATCATTTGTAAATTTGAATCTTGAAGAAGGAAATTCTGGGCTATAATTGGGATNATGCACATATGTCTCACCCATCCATCCATCCATCCCTCCATCCATCCATTTTCTTCCGCCTCTCCAGGGTCAGGTCGCGGGGGTTGCAGCTTCAGTAGGGAGGCCCCGATGTCCCTCTCCCCAGCCACTTGGGCCAGCCCCTCCGAGAAACCTAGTCCCTCCAGTGTGTCCTGGGTCTCCCCCTGGGCCTCCTCCCGGTGGGTCTTGTTCGGAACACCTCACCAGGGAGACATCCAGGAGGTATCCCAATCACATGCCCGAGTCACCTCAACTGGTGCCTCTTGATGTGGAGGAGCAGCGGCTCTACTCTGAGTCCTCGCTGGAGACTGAGCTCCTCACCCTACCTCTAAGGGAGAGCCCAGACACACTACGGAGAAAACTAATTTCAACCTCTTGTATCCAGGATCTCGTTCTTTTGGTCATTACCCAAAGCTCACGACCATAGATGAGAGTAGGAACGTAGATCGACCGGAAAATCAAGAGCTTTGCTACATATGTCACACAATTTTGTAATTCGGTGCTGTATATGGCCTTTACATTGAAAACATCTAATGCATCTAGTTCCAGTATGATGGAGTATTAAGGCCAGGTTAGAAGTTTTTTTTTTTTTTTTAAGTAGAGAATAAAGTCGTAACATTACAAGAATGAAGTCACAAAATTACAAGAATAAAGTCGCAACAATAATAGTCATACAATTATGAGAATAGTCATAACATTATGAGAATAAAGTAACATTATGAGAATAAAGTTTTAAAATTACAAGAAGTTGATTTTATGACAAGTTGATTTTATGACAACTCTTACAAGAAACACTGTCTTCCCTAAAATGTGGAATATCAAGCATAATGTGAAGTTATACTTTAGTATAACTTTACAAATAAGAAAATCTTTTAGAACACCAGCATCAAATTGGGCAGTATGTCAAAGTTGACTCAGGTTGCTGTCTGGTCGGCCGTCACATGCTGGTCTGAGCTCAAAGCTTTCTTTCCTAAACAGGTTGTTGTATGATAACTTCATTCACGTTATTTTTCAACTTTATTCTCACAATATTACGACTTTATTTTCATAATGTTATGAGTTTATAATAATATATTATAATAATATGATTTTATTTTCAAAATAAAATAATATGTTGGCCCTAATACTCTGTCGCACTTCCAGTGTCAATTTAAAAAATCTTCAAAGTTTGTTTTCTCCTTACTGCACGGAGAGTACCAACATTCATATCTTCTTCAATTTTTATTAGTTTTACATTACTTGAAAGCTTAGACTCCATTCCTTCAGTGTAAATGACGGCAAATTGCCCAGGATAGACTTGGATGTAGTTTTGCAATGGCCTCTCACATATGTAACATTATTTAAAAGTAAAAAATGAAAAAATAAAAAGGGAAAGACTACTTTTTTGAAACAGATTTCCTCTCAACATTAATTCAAACTGATGGTCTGACTTCTGAATACACAATGTCTTCAGTCTTCCTCTCCATCTTCTTTGTTCCTCTTGGTTTCTTCCCTCCAGAAAAATGTAATGCAGAGTAGACCAGATCCTGTCCATCATCACGCTGTTTAGAGAAATGCATTCGATGTAAAGTTAAAGAAATTCAAGCTTTAAGAGTATCAAATTTACTTAAATAATAGTTTGGGGATTTTTGTTTTTTTATCACTACCCACAATTTCATCTCTTTGGTGGTTCAAGTTGTTGCGTTTTGCTACAGAGGGTCTTTCTGTGGAACAAAGAGCAACATGCATTTATGATAACATTTTATTTTAATGATCTGTCAGATTGCATATATTTAAAGCATTACATAAACTCAGGTTGTTACTTTCTTCTATAGATCTTGAGTTTAAAGTAGAATACAAAATTAATATTGATTGGTTAATAATACTTACCTTTAACTATTTGACATGGAAAGGCTTTAGTTCGACAAAAGATCAAAATTATATGTATGATAACAGAAACAGCGAAAATGATTAATGTGATCAGCACAATCGTATTTTTGTAACATGTTTGACCTAGAAAAGAGAAATACGAAACATGAGCATCTCCTAGCCATTGAAATAATAATGAATTTAATCTAGTTATCATGATTTATATCTGAATCAATGATCATCCCAAGGTTTCTACGCATATAAGAGGTCTGCAGGAAAACAGACATAAGATGGGCACTGATATTTTAATCT